GATTTCTATGACGTGTATTATTTAATCTGCGAAAAATTAATAGCCAATTATGTATGGACTATTTTTAATTGTCATCTTTTGTAATTATATAACTATAGATATCTTCAGAGTAAGTTTTTGCAATTCCTTACTAACTATTATGTTATTACTGCAAATTATTATATTGTATGTAGTGGTCGAATTATCAAATTGAATTCTTAAAAATCTCTAAAGAATAAGACATTTCATAATTCAAAAATTTGCTGCTGGTCGTAACTTAAAAGCTTAAACCCAAGAATTCTTTTGCAACTTCCTTTATTTGTAAAATTAGTTACAAATCGTAGTTCTTTTAATTTAGTTACGAATTGTTAGTTACTATTACTCATTGACCAAAAGTACAATTTTTCGCGACCCCTTGGGTTTCTATAATAAAGTAAAATTTCTTTCATAATTCTCTCTCCACCCTACTCTTTAATCTTCCGTCTAGTTTTTATCCATCTATAGAAGTCTGGAAGATGGCTCGAATCAGACGAATCTTTTCGCGATTAATCAAGAACGAAGTCGCTGTTAAACACTTCCTGTGACACTTCCTCTCCAACCCTCTTCGACTCACTGCCCTCCTCCTTCCTGTCACACGAACAAAACGACCAGCAGCGCACACCATGCGCCTTTTTATCCAAGGGTTCACGCACACGAATTGCAGAGATCTGCGAGGGGTTCCTCGACCAAGGTTCCACTCGCCGACTTCACCTCTCATTGGTTGACTGTGATTAACATTCAACCCCTTTTTTCGAGTTCTTGCTTTACCTCCAGCCACGCACTCGCCGCAAGAAATTAATCAGCGCAGACACGAGTCGATACTAAGTCTGTGACTAGTCAAATTATTTCATGTACATAGTACACTACTGGCCATTTATTTCGATACATCACCGTGTTTGTGATTTTTTTCAAGGTGAGACTCCAGTCAAAAGCTGGTTTGTAATAAATTCATATTTATTGAAGTGAGGTAATGATATCTGAATTTACTGAGTGGGTTTTCAAATAATTGGATACTATGGATAATATGTAATATTAAAACATGAAAATACCACTTCACAGGGTACACATTATTCTTTTTTGGCGCTAATTAATGTATAATCAATGTAGAATATACATATATTCTTTTTTTTTTTACAAAAATACACCATCATACCTAAAAATAGTAAACTGCAATTCCTTCATTTGTGGTTGATCTTCGTGTGCAATCGATTACATGAGTTTACATACTCATTTGACATAATATGGAATACAGTAGTATTTCAATACATGAAATGTAATAGATAGTGTACATTTACAACCGAGGACCAAGCAAATACTAAATGCATGAATCGCGAACAAATTGAAAATGTTTGTAATGGAGAAAATATCATACGATAATTCTTATTTACTTTATAAATAAATAATTTCAAACGCACATGTCTACTCAATTTATATTCTAGAAATATGACTCATAATTTTAATTGATTGAATGACAATGGAGTGTATCGTGTACGTAAAATGTCACGTTGGATCTTTAACCGACCTACGTAGATCTCAATTATTTAACTTCAATTAATTCAAGATAACATAGAAGCGTGTAATCTCGATATGATGTTAAAACGAGGGTAATCCAGAAAGGCATGTTTGAAATGACAGGTTCATTTCAAATTCATTTAAGAAAATGAGTTATTAATGAAATAATGAGGCTGGGATCCTTAATGAACTTCACGCGGCCGTCTAAAAGTTAATCATATTCAAAACGTTGTCTATCTTATCTAGACATTCTCTTAAGATAAATAAAGAACTACAGTTTTCGCCTAAAATTAACGACGTACATCGATATCACTGGCACGTACTATTATTGGCTACATGGCTTCTCCTAAGAGAAAAAAAGCGATAGCAGTACTTGTAGCTCTAGATACTTGTAGCTGTAAACTTGGCAGGCGTGCTTGCCAAACTCTGTTGTACACAAAAGTGGTTACAAACTCGGAGAGGAGGCGGTTCCGGATCCGTGTTCTTAAGGTACTTTTTCATCCTTACGATAGAGAAGAATATGCTCTTGAACTTCGATCACCTGTTTCTGAAATGGTCTGTACGACGTATTGAAACTTTTAAAGTATTGGACACCTGACTAAGCCACATAGTCACTCGCCTCCGCTAATTATTTTAACCAGTAAATACAGAATGTCAGTAAAGTTCATTTCGTTCTAGAAACTCCTAGAACAAATACAGAGAAACGCGCGACGATAATAATTTGCTAAATCTATGGAAAGATTTCACAACGCAGATCCAACGGACAAAACGTGGTAAAGTAAATCGTTAAACTTAATTCGTTTCTCTCATTAAGATAGTATACAAATCTAAATTAAAGATGGCAATTACTGTAGTTGTCTTCTTTTGTTTGGGACTTCTTCAACGAATTAAACGAGATGTACGCTTGGTCCTAGGATTGTATGAACTGTAGAACAATACCCGTGTTATTTGTCTAATTTGGTTCTAAACTTACAAATTCTTCAAGTAGTCGACATATTAAAGAAACAAAAGTTGCAGTAATTGGCATTTTTTTCTAGCGTAGAAATCGCTAACAAAGTGGGCGCAGTAGGAAATCTTGAATTTCAAGAATAAAGGGTTAAATGATACGAAAAGTAATCGAGTATACCATTCGAAGTATCGACGAATAAACGCATTAATAGGATAAGTTTATATTTCTTCCCATCATAAACCTTTGGCTAGCAGTGTCAGGAACTGACAAGCGATAGCAATACATGTCCACAAATTATATTTTGTAACGAGTAACACCACTAATAAAAGTAATTTTAATGTCTCTTTTAAAAATTGACCATTTGGTTGGCACACTGTCGAATAATGATGCAGTTCTCTTAATCTCAATTTTTTTTAAGAGATCAGAGTGACGTCAATTTATATATTTTCATTATTCAGTAGCTAACTAAAGACAAACTGAACATTTTCTGTTCAGACAGTTTGAACTTGTATTCTGCGTAACGAAATTCGAATTCATTTTTGTCAAACACATATCTATGCTTTTTGCTGTCACGATTGTGTGTCAAAAATCGTTCTATGGAACCATTTATTGAAAAATGTCCATCCTTAAAATGAGGGAAACATTTTGTTTTGTCAACAACATAACTTTCTTCATGACTGCATAAACGTTGCGAGCAGCATCAGCAACATTTGAACCGCGATCAAATTCATAAAGTAGCACATGTCGGTGATGCTTATTCTAATTCGATGTTCCACACTTTTCGCATAATTATCGTTGTTTTTTAGTACAGAATAAAATCATACAAAATGATGTAACAGAAAAAACCAAAAGCTATCGAATAACGCATACTATTATATATAACTGACAGACTGTTGGTTGATATTAACTGAAGCTTCTGAATGCAAGCGATATGGTAAGATATTCCGACATTTCTCCAGCATTGTAGCTAGCTTCTTCAAGGGTCAAATTTGATTTGTTTAAAAGCAATAAAATCACAAATTCTTCTTAACACTTCATCTGCCGGGCTGTTTAGAAACAGTCTTTTATTCAAAAGAGAATTTTCTACAGTAGCATATGCCAATCTAGGTTTACAATAATTCCTCCATACTGTTACTGGGTACATTGAAAGCAAAATCTGTTTCTAAACACTGAAGACTGTAAGTAGACAACCATCAACACAGTAAATAAATTCGAATAACTAAATACTGCAATTAAAAAGCCTATAAATAGGCTTCCGGTAAATAAAGTGTTAAGCACCAGTATAGAAAGAAATAATTCATCCTCTATACTAAGAGTAAATTGTACGCGTTGAATATTCTCTTTGACTCCTACAGAAATTAGTTGAAATGGTAGCTAAATGTTGAAGTATATTACTCAAAGGTCACGAATTACACCCTAAAGCTTTGGTTAATGTCAATCATGAAGAATAGACAGTTGTTACTGGATATTGGGTTGTCCAAAAAGTTCATGACGATTGGCGGTCTGAAATATCAGAATTGTTAAAAACAAGTGGCATATGTACATCTCTTAAAAGGTCATACTTGAGTCATCCTTAAAACAAAATTTAGATGAGATACACTATATGTAGCGGTTTTATATTCCCTTAAATATGAAAGGGAACAAAGTGCACTATATGCGCTTGATGCTTTCTTTTTGGTGGCAAAAATGCCATACAAGCAACAAACAAGATATACGTTGTTTATGGTGAAGGTGTTTTAACCAATAGAGTTGTGTGGAAGTGGTTTGCTAGGTTTATAACTGATGATGATCAACTTTGATGATCAAGAACCTTCGAGTAGACTCTCCAGTACTGTTGAAAATTAGATCAACGTACTGATCGAAAATAATCCATGCTATACGACACATGAAGTAACAGAAATATTAAAAATATCAAAAACCAGCATCCACGAGAATTTTATGGAGTTGGTTATATTAATCGTAAATCACAACTAGCGAATGGGAAGTGCGTTATATTTTATCAGGACAATGTACGGCCCTACGTGTCTTCGACTACTCGACAAAAGTTGTTAGAGCTAGTTAACCCTCGGCACCATCAGATTTTTACTTACCTACATATTTACAAAATTCCACTAATATCAAAATCTTTAACTCTTTGGTTCGCGTAAAAAATGATCTTGAAAAGCTTTTTGTTGGAAAATCTAAGAAATTCTGGAAGGATGAAATCTTCAAGTTGTGTGCAAAATGGGGAAAGGTTATGAAACAAAATTGTATCTATATAATTCAATAGATGTATGTCTAGATTCAAATATGTTGCCATTAAATTTATCTTAAAAATCGTCGCAAACTTTTCGAACGACCCAATATATTCAAGATGAAATTAAAACCTCGCAAACGTATGTACCAACTCAATACATCCTACCACAAGTTACTAATAAAGAGACACTGATTCGAAACTTGCTATCCGTTACGCCGCACAACCGACGAAGACACGAATAGAAAGTGTAATTCGAAAAACTTGGGAAAGTTGCGTAAGACTCACCGTTTTCCGATTTCGGTGGGACTGGTTCGATTTTCACGGAGGTGGTTGTCGCGTGAAGGGACGTCGAGACTTCGGCGACCTGACAGGGCACCGAAGCCAGCGGTTCCCTTTTCACCAAGTTACTACCACCATTGTTATTGCCGTTGCAATTCGCGTCCTGCCCGTTCCAGGACGAGGCAACCGGCAATGTCCTGCTGCAGCCCGCGTCGGAATGCACCGTCCTGGTTTTCCCTGAATTTATAAAACAAGAGTTTGTTACTAACCCTCTGAAATCCAAGCGTGCAATCTGTCGTATAGCTGCAGTGTTGGAAAAACTATCGTACGTGCGATTTATTACTAGATTCAACCTTAACCCTTTCCCTATAGCGGTCAATTCTGTTTCTGTAAATTAATAAAAAGAACGTTCGATGTACTTAATTAATAAAATTTGCTAAACACAGAAAATGCTTCTCTGATAAAAGAATCATTGATAAAAATGTCACGTACATTTGACGAGGCAACAGATTTAATTAAGTAGATAGCAAAGGAAAATTGGAATCAAGAATAGATAAAAAATGGATAACCAACGAAATTACATCAAATACGGAAATCAACCAATGATACTATCCCAACTCAAACGATCATTGACCTCTTATAAGTAAGCTACGGCAAATTTAAACGCATTGTTAAACGCGCGGAAATTTATATTCCACTTTTTAATCGCGCCTCGATGCTTCATGAAAGCCTGTCAAATTGCACGCCAACCATAAAGCCTCGTTCCATCCGAGAAATTATTGGTCATACTGATAGTTCCAGGGAAACACAAAGAGCGCGCACAGTTGGAACAGGCGAAGTTCTCGGAAGCCACGGCGGAAAAGAACGCTGGCTGGCCATAATTCCCTCTACTTTGTGTCACAAAGTGCTGGACGATATAAATGTTTTCATTGTTGGTAAGCGAGGTACGGGCGTACGGTGCACATTGTAAGGCAAATGTTCACGCGGCGTGTGCACGAAGCCACACTGGGTGGCATAAATGTTCACGGTACGGACGATAAAATCAAGATCCTCTTTTTTTCGCGATAGAGACCGTTGGCTGCGGAATTAATGTCGGCGTTACTCACGCAGCTATCGACCTCGTTGCGAATCTCTATTGTCTCGACGATCGTTGGCGTAGAAGCACGAATTAACCCAGCGCAAATATTTTTCACCCGGTGCTTAGCGGGGTGGAATCTCCCAAACGAGGCCAAAATGTGCAATTATGAAATTTAGAAAAAGAAACGATTATAAGTATGTACTACGATATTATAAGATGGTTATAATAATAATATTATAAGTGTAATACATATATACTGTACGTCGTATAGAATAAGAGATGTCAGTGCGATAGGTATGTATCCCGTCTGCTTGAGAATGCAAATTGTGCGTTATAATAAATAGTTATCGTTTAAACAAAAGTGCCGTTTTTGCTTAACTCCTAAATAAAGTTTTATTCAACAATTATGTTACAACAAAAATAAGTTACATTATCCCAAATAGTTTTAATTTATCATGGTAATACTAAGTTTTGCTTGTGAGATACTTAGAAGCTACCCATAAAATGTGAATGTATGTAAAGGCACAGAATTATTGTCTAAACCTAATAATTTCGAACTCTTACATACGAGTACTTCTCTTTACAAAGTACTGAGAAGTAATTCGGATAACTTTTAACATCCATAAGCATGTTACTACTTTTGTTGTAGTGCACAAGAAACTGCATCGAGTCGTCAGAAGTATAGGCTCCCATTTTTAAAAAAAGTGCAGTTGCATTTTTCTGATGCACCGATGCACAAAAGTGCATAAAATTAGTTGCATGATATGCACCATCCAAAACCATTTAACTTTCACTTATAACATTTTCTTCTATTCCCAACCGTTCAGGAGGTACAGCCTGTTCCAGTTGCGTGGGGCGCTCTGTATTACAAATTAATTTTTATCGCATAAGGGGCTTTCCTAAAGGAGCTTTAGGATTTTGTCCGATTCCATACAATGCATAGTTTTGTTTAAAATAAAATTGGGACATACTCCATAGCACTTGTGTTTGACTAAAAAAATCAAGATCGTAAGACATCTACAACAAATCCCACGGACTTATGGACCAATCCAATAAATACTCGCAATCACCCAGAACATAATTCATTTTGTAGTTACATGATCCGTCTACCAAACGAATCCGACATTTGTCAGAAAGTTAAAGCAGCAGATAGGAACCATTAACGAAGTCAGTTTTAGGTAATAGTGCTTAAGGGTATCAAGACAAGAACCGAGCAAAGCAACGAAGGATATGGCGACTAGTCTTAGCGGAGCTGTAACGTATTTGCGCGTTAATTAGAATCCAGAACACGTTTACCTGTTTGTTGCTAATCTTGTTACTCGTCATGTGGCGAGCCGAAGGATGAACGTAACTTAAACCCGTTTACGAGGAACACTGTGCCACGTTAATTCGACAATTGAAGGATTTGCCGGGAGTGCAGTTTAACTCTCCGTCAAAGTCGATGCTAAGTATTTAAAGTCTGGACGTTAAGGAGTGAACCGAGAATTTACGTCAATTACTCAAATTTGAGGTTAAAGGGAAATATGCAACTTTATTGAACACTTCGTTTGTTGGTATAAAAATAAACGTTATTCTTTATGTTTCAATTCTTCGACTTTAATTTTATTATATATTTAGATCGAAACGTCTTCAGAGTCTACAAATACGAAATATATAAATCTTAAATTAGAAATTTCGAAAAAAATTCATAAATAAAAGGAAATTAATTATCCATTTATCATTTGGTAATTATTCAAATAGAATGGTAAAATGTGTTATGTGTAAAAACGAACAATTCAGTATTAAATTTTATTTGTTTAAGATATGATGCTTTTTCCTTGGATAACCGTGACAACTTCATAATTATAGTAAATATAGAAATAGTATATAAATGCTAGATATATCACATACAAATATAATATATAATTCGTATTTAATTTTCGTAACCCCAGTCCGAGTTTTGTATAAGGTGTTAATTATATTAATTTACGAAGTCCCTAAAATTTTATTCAATAATGTTCGTTCTTAAAATTTGTAATAATCATTACATTTTCAATAACAGAATTTAAATAAAAGAATAGACAATATATTTCTGAATACATTCTGCGAACAAGCACGCTATTTTGTTTGTTACAACTTGTATTATAGTAATACTTCTTATAATATACTATATTTTTCAAGTGCATTTCACGACAAATTTCTAACAAAGGCTTCTAAATTCATTTTAGTTATGCTTATCATTTAACTGAAACCAATCAGACATTATATAATTCTTTAGGGTTTTATTAATGTTTTTTTATTAGGCCCCAATTAATTGAAGAAATGACAAATTTATGCAGAACATTAGGTGAAAATATTTGTCATTTGTTTTATTGCACTTTCTATACGACTCGGTACTTCATGTGTACAATTCGTAATAACACTGATTACCATTTGTTGAAAAGTTCTATTCAATGAAGCATTTCAGAAGTTTCCGAACAAACGCGGGGATTGATAAGCATTAAATGAAATCAAACGACCCATTTATTTTTTCGAGTTCAATAGTTCGATTATCTTGAATGGGGTATATTGATTAAATAATCTGTATGCATCGAACGGAAGAACACAGGAAATGGGTAACAACAAAACAACCGATTCAGCTATTTTATTGATTTCCACGACCAACGGCAATCTCTAATCATTTATAGCTTGACGCGTGCATTTGCATTTGGATTCACTTTACAGCGAATTGTTGTTTATGCATTGCGTTGTCGAGTGTAAATTTCAGCATTATTCACAGAAATTGTAAAAACGTACTGTTTATCACAACAAAGAAATCACTACATAGATAATTTATATGTCTCTAAATAACTCGTTCTTCTTGTACAGTTTCTCTACTTTTTATATTTTAGACTATCTATTGTAGCTACGAATGTCAAGACAATACAAAACAAATCATCATTTGTTTATGCTGTGAAAAACGCTATAGAAATTAAATTTTTGTATTGTTTTAAATAGTATTAGATAAGTATAAAAGAACTAAAAACAGTTACATACATAAATAACTCGTAAAGTGTCAAAAGATGGACTTTAGCTGTTTTTGACTTCAATCTAACTGAAGAGGTCTCAAATCGAACCGATACAATTAAATATTTGTTTGAAATATTATTTCTCTATTAATTACTAACTTTTGATATGTCTAAACTATAAAAAATTTGATCGCAATTAAAAACCTTCGTTTAGGATTAAATTTTACTATAAGCTCTCTTCATATTTATAATGAGTCTTATCAGTTCCATTTTATTAAATTCGAAAGACAAATAATGCATAATGTGAATTTTTCTTGAAGCACTGGAATTGATAGTGATATTTCTAAATAAACCGACTAGTAGGAAATCCTATTTTTATATAATTTATTCAAGCAAAATTGTATACAATTTAAGACTTCGTTACTTTAAAAATATTTACCTCGAAAAGTGAATTAATTAAAAGTAAGAATAGAATTATGAAACTTTATTCTAACAATGAGTAGAACTTTCGCAGCAGTGTTATAGTTAGAGAGGTAAAGTCAACAACTCCTTACTGTAATAAAGACTATAACGAATATTTTTTTTTCATACTCAGCGTGTCCAAAACTAGTATTCTCGTTGTTCGTAACCCCGGGTCCACACTGCGCGAACACAAAACAAGAACATACCCTAGAAACATTCGCAAGGGTGTTCTTACTGTCGCTAACATGTCGGCGAACATCTACGATGTTCGTACTCCTGTGAAACTGATGTTATTTTGTGGATTCGGGCGATTCGCATCCCCTCCATGGTTGGAAATGCTCGAAAGCAAACGACCGTTTACGACCACCCGCCGGCAGATGCTCCAAAGGGATAATAATATGCGTGACCGTAGTTAATATTAGTTCCTTAATATTCATCCAAGTTTTTATGCTTTTCTTGTTGTATCTTGATGAAAATATATGCAATATATTGGCAATATATATATATATAGATTTTGATTTCGATTTCAATTTAGACAATTTTGAGTTTCGCTTATGATAAGTAATAGATTTTGTTACAGCCTATATATATTACACATACTATTCTTCAAGAAATGTTCGTTTACCTTTTTTTTTAAGACGGTATGCTTGCCTATCGATATTTTTTAAAATACCATTTTACGGCACTTGTCAGCTTCACGTCTTAAAAAA